AAAAAATTAATTAATTAATTAATTTTTAATTAAAAAGAAAACCAGAAGTGGCACTGTGGCTCAAGTGGTAGAGCTCTCGGCTTGAGCTGAAGAGCACAGGATGCCTAAGCCCAGAGTTCAAGCCCCACAACCGACCAAAAGAACAAACAAAACAACAAAAAACCAGCCAGGCACTGGTGGTTTTCACCTGTAATCTTAGCTACTCAGGAGGCTGAGAATTGAGGATACGGTTCAAAGCCAGCCCAGGCAGCAAAGTCTCTGAAATTCTTAATTAACTACCAAAGGTCAGGAGAAGGGGCATGGCTCAAGTCACAGAGCAATATCCTTGAACAAAAAAGCTCAGGGACAGTTTCCATACCCTGAATTCATGCTCCAGGACTAGCACCAAAAAACAAACTAAAATTAAAACAATTTAAAAGTAAGAAACTGCATGCATAAAAAATGAAATAAGAATCATAAGCTATAGTTCCCCAGTGTGGTTAACAATTAATTAAAATTAATTGGTAGAGTTGGAAGAAGACCGTCCTCTAAGTGTAGATTTGAAGAATTGACACAGGGAACAGAACCCCTGAAGGGAACTTGGGTCTATACAAGTAGAAATTCTGTGGTGGGGGCTTAAGAATTGCAGAGGAACCATGGATGTGGGAAAAGGTTTCCTTACAGGCTCCTAGGTACAGAAGGGAAATGTCAGATTCATAAGGTTCAGTAATCACAGTTTAACAGAAAACGAGTTAGTACTCTCTAAATTTATAAGAATCTTATGGGTTAGTTGACAATGTAAGAATCCCTGACCTCCTCATGGTATAAACAATACAGCTAAGGAAATTTCTTTCTTTCTTTTTTTTCGTTGGTCATGGAGCCTGAACTCTGGGCACTGTCCCTCAGCTTTTCATCTCAAGGCTAGCCCTCTACCACTTGAGCCACAGCACTACTTCTGGCTTTTTCTGTTTATGTGGTGCTGAGGAATTGAACCTAGGGCCTCATGCATGCAAGGCAAGCACTCTACCACTGAGCCACCTTCCCAGCCCCTGCTGTTCCTTCTTTTAAAACAAAATGTGCTCTTTAAAAATAGTTTATACTGCATTTTTAGCTGGCTCTTAAGTCTTTGTATTTATCCACAATGTATATTCTTTCATATGAAGCTATATTTCATTCTAAAAGGTGATATAGCATAGTGGTCAACCTCAAGGTTGTAAAGTACCTGGTACTTATTAATCATTTGTGATAGCCATTGGCTGCCATTATGGTTGTGGCTATATAATTAGAGTTTGCCATACACATATTGACATTTGGGCTGTTTCTCATTTTTCATTATCAAGAATAAAGCTGCAGTAAATACACTTGTATGCTTACTAATTTGTTAACTGCTTCTGCAGAACAAATTTTACATGTAAAATTCTGTATAGAGTAGTATTTGAATTTGTAACCTTTATTGATTTTGTAAATTTCTTCTCTGGAAAGGTTGAACCATTTTATAGAATCCGCAGCATTGAATGGAAGTGTTTACTCATCAATGCAGGCAATCTAAATGTCTTAGTTTGACATCTCTTGACAATTGATCTCTCTCAGTTGACATCTCTTGACAGTTCCAAATCTTGAATGTGTAGTTTTCCAGTGAGCCACGGGGTGGGGCTAATTTTCTGGAAATCTGTATACCCATATAGGTCTGACATGTATGTACACTTAGAAAATACACTCACAGTCACTTCTCTTAGAAGATTTGTGGCCCTAAGTACTTGCTAAAAGTTATTCATTTGTAGAGCACAATATTTTTCCCAAAGTGCATTAGACAATACAGTAAATATCATCTGATTATTAATGTATCACAGACATAAATATTATAGTAACAAATATATATCACAATAGAAGTATATTTAAAGTGTTATAGGAACATTGAATCATTATCCTAAGTTCTGAAAGAATTCATTATAATTTACTTCATACGTATCTCTCAAGAGTAAAAATGTAGTATATACTTCTCTTTTCTGCCTATAAGTACATTTCTTTATTAGATTTTGAAGGCCTGTGTTGGGAAACTTTTTGTTTGTTATGTCAGGTAAAATTAAAAATTTTAAGGCAAAATAGTTTGATTTAAGAGCAC